CCTGTTGTTCTGTCTGTACAGCACTTTGGTTGGCCTTGTAGCTGTTTTAAGTGCTCTATAAATAAAATGGTATGGTATTTGTCTTGGGGGCTAGCGATCAGTGACTACTGTATTTTTTTTAATCAGCTGTGTTACAGACACTGTTCAGAATTTTTTTTTTTTACTGTATTTGTGTGTTACCAGTACGTATTTAATTAGAAGTTTTTAAAAAATCTTTCTGTGCAAATGTCTCATGTTACAACTTGAACACCTGCGTCTTATAGACAAGTGCGACCTATTAATATAAAATTTTAATTTTTCGTTTTGAATTTAGCGGTTACTGCTTATATTCAGGTGCACTCAATAATCCAGAAGTTACAGTATTTATTGTTAAAACCTTTTTCCTTTCTGTTTAAAGTTATGGTCAGACTGGAACAGGAAAAACCTTCACCATGGAAGGAGAGAGGAGTCTAGACGAGCAGTTTACCTGGGAGGAAGTGAGTTCAGTCCGTTACTGTCTGCCATTGAAGGCAGGTGATCATGTTTTCACCTGCTTGTGTTTTACACACGAGTGCATTTCTGTTTGTTGGCAAAATGTTTCAAGAACAACTTGACTGAATTTGTATGAAACTCTGTAAGTAAGCACAACAAAGGTTCAATCATGTCATCTGGATCAGTTTCTTTAAGTGAGAAACATTTCATCCTCCATCCAGAGGACTTCCTCAGTCTGCAGCCTGCCAATCAAATCTGTCCCATAGGTAGCCTTCACCGCTGTGTTTCAAGACAACCTCCTGTTGGAATCTCAGAAGTAGACTTTTAACAATAGGCTGTTTCTGTGAGTAGCAAGTTGGTCATCTGGCCTACAACTTTTGTATGTACATGTACATAAAAATGTTTCATCATACATCATGTTTGTACATGATGATTGATTGTTTTGGATGGGTGTGTTTTGCATGTGTTAAAAGTCTACATCTGACATTCCAACAAGAGTTTGGTTGAAACACAGCATTAGCTATGTTTACATGGACATGTAATCAAATTAAACGGCCATTCGGAATAAAAATGCGTCCTGTAAACGCCCCATTCGGATTATTCTTTGTTGATTCAGCTCGATCCGAAATAAGTTGTGATCAGAATGAGACGGGTGGTTTATGCCGATTCATAATCTGAACACTGCATGTAAACACTTAATCTGATCATTTTATTCTGATTGTGGAAAACTGACCTGACTGTGCATGTGCGACCTGTCAACCTCATGCATTTCCACCAGGCTAGATGCTAATAATATTAGCATGTTCGGGAAGCACTACAGGTTGGTGAGTGACACTACATTTCTACTAGATCTTTGAAATAGCCCAAAATAATCTGTATTACCTGTAGCTCAGTCAGGGAGTGCAGTAACGTCTCCGTTATTAAAACTTGACGCGGGTCCATTTTGGGCGCTCAAATTTTAATTTTAATTTTTATTTTTTATGTTCGTCCTGGAAGTAGAACTTCTTCTGTGTTTTTTTTTTTTTTTTTTAAAGGAGAGTTTACCACTCTGCCCATGTCAGTACTTCTATTCAGAATAAAAGTCCGCTGCATGTAAACGCTCGTCGTGAACGGATTGTGCCATGTAAACGATACATTAAAATTATTTGCCGGTAATCTGAAAACGTTTCAGTCCGGTCAAAGAATTTTGCACATGTAAAAACAGTTAGTGAAGACTACCAATGGGACAGATCTGGTTGACAGGCCGTAGACTGAGGAAGTCCTCTGGATGGGGGATGAAATGTTTCTCACTTACAGAAACTGGTCCGGATGACATCATTTAACCTTTTTTGTTATCTACCTAAATGATTGAGCTTGCAACCCCCTTTTTTATTTATTTAAAAATTTTTTCTGTAAGTAAGAATTTGATCGATATCAACAACTATTTAACTTTTGGAGTTTGCCCAATTAAAGATGACTGCTGCAGCTGATCAGTCTTGGTCAGCACAAAATGGCTATAGCTCTGTCTATAGGATTTAATTGAACTTCTTGTGTTCTGCGTCTTTAAGGACCCACTGGCTGGCATCATCCCTCGAACTCTACACCAGATCTTTGAGAAGCTTACTGACAATGGCACGGAGTTCTCTGTCAAAGTCTCCCTGTTGGAGATCTACAACGAGGAGCTGTTCGATCTACTCAGCCCCACCGAGGACGTCAGTGAACGACTGCAACTGTTTGACGACCCCAGAAACAAGGTTTGCACCAGATGGCTAAAACAAATATCTGTATGTTATTTTTCTCACGTGTGCGTTTGTGTTGCAGCGAGGCGTGCTAGTCAGGGGTCTGGAGGAAGTGGTGGTCCACAACAAAAACGAAGTGTATCAGATCTTAGAGCGAGGATCAGCAAGGAGGAGGACAGCCTCCACTCTCATGAACTCCTACTCCAGGTATAAAATAAGCCTACGTCACTCCAATGACTAAAACTAGATTGTTGTAGATTTAAATGTTGCATTTATGTTTTTCTATGCAGCCGCTCCCACTCTGTGTTCTCTGTAACAATCCACATGAAGGAGATCACTCTGGATGGAGAGGAGTTGGTCAAGATCGGAAAACTCAATCTGGTAAATGCCCCATTTCTATTTTTTTTTTTTTTTTACAAAATAACAAATTTATCTAACATGGTTAAGTCATTCTTCTTTGTTGAAACATTTAGTCTTTTATCCAAAAGACTTGTTTAGTCTGAGGTTTGCTCAGACTAGGGTTGGACGATATGGCCAAAACTTATCACGATGTATTTGTTAATTTCGGTTGGTAACGATAATCGATATTAACAATTTAAAAGCCTCAGAAAAGCTGTACAAATAAATTAATGTTCACCTTTTATTTGTATTTAGCCTTCAAAGAAATTTGAAATTGCCATCAAATAAACATAAAACTCTCAACTTTGTCAATATTACATTAGTTTGAACTTTAAATAACAACATAACCCTAACCCATGCAGCAAACGTTTCTCTTTTGATGCAGATGTTTCAGGGACACGTTGACTCAGACTTTTATTGTGATTCATCTTCTTACACTCAGCATATTCTATCGAGTGGAAAAGTTAGATGTGCTCCCACCGCTAGCTGGAACGACTCTCCGGCACATTTTGCAAAACATTAGCCGAACCACTTCCACACAGCCGAATTAGTCTGTCCTCTTATCAGTTATGTCATCCGCTCTCTTTTGGCTTGTGAAAGCTTCTACAGTCACATTCTGACCGTCATGGGCACTCATTTTGAAGAGGAAACTTACAGCATGTTGGAGATTAGCCTAGCCTGCTACCGCTGATTCCTTTGAGCTGTGGTGTACAGTAGTCTCTTGCTACATCGCGGTTCGTTTATCGTGGATGTGCTCTATCGCAGTTTTTCAAAATAAGATTGGACATGACACACAATTGGCTGATTGATGGATGAGCCACACGATCAGATGGAATTGTTATTTAAAATATTTTTAATTGAGTACCTCCTGCACCTTTGTGCAGCCCACACTGCTGCAGGATAATCAGCTGATCAGAGTTTCAGCGTGCAAAGCGGAGAAGTGGGCGTGGCCAAGAGCGCTTGCAGGTTGCAGAGGAGGCAGAGAGCTGAAATCATGACATTCTGTTCTTTTTTTAGAGCATTTAGAATTTAGAAACATAACTTCAACTTCATCAAATAAGTCGCGTTACCAACACATGCAACTAGTTTATAACACATATATTATGGCAAGCCGTTATATCCATTAATAGCTAAAAGTGGCTATTTGTGTCTAATAATGGATATTAAGGCTTGCCATAACTACACGTTGACCCCGTCTGTGGGCGTAACCACATATGTGATTTTCCTGGTGGCTGCAAGTTGCAGCACTGGCTGTAACGTTACGTGTGGTTGAAACTAGGGATGCACCGATCCACTTTTCTTTTTACTTCCGCTTCCGATACCTAAATCTGGATATTGGCCGATACTGATCCGGTTACAATATCATGATCATCATTGATTTTATATGAGGCTGTAATAATCTCCTCTCAAGTACATTTTGTACAAATACATGCATGCATGTCCAAAAAGGCAACTTGAAGAAAGTTTTATTAATGTTGGATAAGTTTTAAAGTTAGAATTAAATTCTGCTAACACAAAACATGTTTTGTTTTTTATTCCTAGCTTTAAAGTGGATATTAAAGTGATTAATTTAAGTAATTGTTTAAAGTTATTATTTTTTTAAATAAGGGGCAGATATAAGAATTTTTTTCTTCTTTCTGCACTCTTTTCATTCAATGTTTTCTTTTTGACGAATTTGTTGTTTGTTTTTTTCTTTTAAATGAATGAATAAATGAATTAAATAAAAAATATATAGATAAGCTACATTATAAAGCGATGTAAAATAGTAAAAATAGGAACATGTCTGTTGGTTTATGCCATGAAATAAATAATTAAATATATATGTATATATTTATATACAATTTTCTTGTAATTTTCAAATCATGTTTTTTTTTTTAATGTCCATCATAAAACTAACTTTACTGCGGTTTAATGTGGCGCTATGGCTCTGCAGACATTGCACGTTGCTGTCTTGTTTTGTGGTGTTTAGTGTAAAATACTTCCACACAGCGGACATGTTTAGATGAAAAGTTTGTTAGCTGTTAGCTACAGTGCTGCTAACTCAGTCCTCACGTTGTAGCTGGCTGCAAACTATGAACTGGATTTCCTGAATGTGAGGCGGGTCTTATTACTCTGGGTTCATGAGACACGCCGCCGTTCAGGAAATCCATTCCATAGTTTGAAGCCAACTTGCATCATGGATCAGAAATCTCTGCAGGTTGGATCGGAAAAATCCAATACGTAAATTATGCTGGTATCGGAGGCCGATACTGGATCGGATCGGCCCCATCCCTAGTTGAAACCACATGAAACGTTACAGCCAATTACCAAAACTTAACACCAAAAGAGGAAGGATATTTTGATACATATACTGACCGAACTGCTTCGGTCTGTACCATAAAAGAACCCAAGTTCGGTACTCGGCTCTACGCGTGCTGCATCTGAAAACTTTATTTGAATTATAAAGCTGAGCTAAGCTAGATGGATAGACGGATATGTCTTTGTTGACTACTGGTGAAGATTCTCAGTAATCCAGAACATGGTAAATTCAAAAACCTTCTAGCCAAAACCTCCACCTCACAGATAAGGGACACTGTTTTGAGGACCAAAATGTGCACATTTTGGACTGAGAACACAGATGGTTTGAGAGGGGGGTGAAGGAAGCAATTTATATAAAAAAAGAAAAACCATCTCTTAACAGAGGAGGGGGTCTCAGATTTCAACTTTCAAAACCTTATAATGCAGCTTTAGGACAGATTCCCAGCTGTTTTTCACACCTGATGGGACCAGAGGGGCCACATCTGTTTAGATTAACAAAGACCTTAACAAACACCTACTGTGAAGGTGTGAGATGTGATTTGTCAATCTACATGCATGTGTATCTTATCTCAGCCTTATAACCTGAACCCCTCACTCACTGCTCTTTGAACTGAGAAAGCTCCTCGGATGAGGAGCAAAACGTCTTCCGTTACAAATAAAGTCCAGTTGTTTTTGTATTGAACGTTTTTGTCTTTGACTCACAGTGGGAGCCGCTGTAAATTCTGATAGGTGTGAAAATGACGGTAGCTGCTACAAAGCAGAGGTTTGGTGTTCTCCAGGAAATTAACTGGTTTAGAGTGGCAAGGTAGGAATTTGTCTTCTCATTAAAAAACATGAAGACGGATATCCAGTTTAGGGTGATTTATTTGCTGTGTTTCTTCTGGTATTTACACAAAGCAGTAACCAGTAAAGCTCAAACTGCAAGGCCCCGTCCGTGTCGGGAGAGAAACAAACTCCGACCGACACACGCTGCTCTGCACTTTCCACAGAGTGGTTGTTCAGTAGTGTCGGATCAGTCATGGTGCGTTCAAGAGCATAGGAACTATGAAATTCAGAAAGAAACAAGCTGTAAAAACAACAAAAAAAAAACCCAAAAAACGAGTTCAGTAAAAAAGCAAACTACACAACAATGAGGGCTTTCTAACATTGTTATTAAAGGTTGAGTGAATATACTTCATTAGAATAAGACTTTTTAAAGAGCAGGTCAGCCTTTCATTGTGTTTGCTCTGTATGTGTTCTGTTTAAATTGTACGTGTGCAGCTGTGTTTTTGGTTTTGTTATGCAGGAAAAAAATATATTTTTGAGACATTTATTTTGTACTGTTACAGCTGTTTGTTAAAAAGGTGCCTTTGTGACACTTGGGACAAAGCTTTGACTCATAATATATATTTTTATTACTTTATGGAAAAAAAATATTGAGCTGTATATTGTACATTGCCATTTAAAATGTTGAGATGTTAATTTTAGTCCATATTGCCCAGCCCTAGCCTACGTCATTGAGCATGCATCAGGACATAACAAATGCAGTTGTTTTAAAATTAGTTTAGGCTTAAGTGTTTTTTTAAAAATGTTTAACAACATTTAAAAAAAGGAATCTTTTGCTTTCAAGGTGGATCTGGCTGGAAGTGAAAACATTGGACGTTCAGGTGCTGTGGACAAACGAGCTCGTGAGGCGGGAAACATCAACCAGTCTCTGCTGACGCTGGGCCGCGTGATCACAGCTCTGGTGGAGAAGAGACCTCATGTCCCGTACAGGTTAGTCTGCAGGAAACAAGACTTCATGTCCCGTACAGGTTAGTCTGCATGAAACGAGACTTCATGTCTCATACAGGTTAGTCTGCATGAAATGAGACTTCATGTCCTGTACAGGTTAGTCTGCAGGAAACGAGATTTCATGTCCTGTACAGGTTAGTCTGCATGAAACGAGACCTCATGTCTCGTACAGGTTAGTCTGCAGGAAACGAGACTTCATGTCTCGTACAGGTTAGTCTGCATGAAACGAGACTTCATGTCCCGTGCAGGTTAGTCTGCATGAAACGAGACTTCATGTCTCGTACAGGTTAGTCTGCATGAAACGAGACTTCATGTCCCGTACAGGTTAGTCTGCATGAAACGAGACTTCATGTCCTGTACAGGTTAGTCTGCAGGAAACGAGACTTCATGTCCTGTACAGGTTAGTCTGCATGAAACAAGACTTCATGTACCGTACAGGTTAGTCTGCATGAAACAAGACTTCATGTCTCGTACAGGTTAGTCTGCATGAAACGAGACTTCATGTCCCGTACAGGTTAGTCTGCATGAAACGAGACTTCATGTCCTGTACAGGTTAGTCTGCAGGAAACGAGA